CGAAACACGAATCATGAAAGATAATAGTCAACGCAAAATCATTCGTCTAGCAACAGTAAAATCATTCGTCTAGCAATAGTAAAATCATTCGTCTAGAAGAAAGAATTAGGGACAAAATTCTAAAGATATACTTAGTAGTATAATAAAGTTGGCTAAGTCGGTGGCCTCATCACTAAGCATCGACACTACAGAGCTCATTGTCACGGTGAGGGAGCGCAGCCGCCTCGCGAAGAAAACCGCTGACATAAACGCAGGGCATGAGCAAATCCAATTACTGACATCCATTAAATAATTGATATGATTAATATTTCTATTCAAAAGTGGTACAGGGCTAAAATGGAAAAAAGTGGACGATCTAGTCAACGATATCTATAAAGGGGACTAGTTGAAAAAAAGCGACCAAAAGCATGTCTGCGAGACGATTGGATGTTCTAATTTTAGTAGGAAAACAGCGCATTGCTATTATCACATATACAATTTCGCTTATTGGTTGTGATATTAGAAATTTCGAAGAATAAATAAAATTTATTGCATTACAGGTTATTTTTCCACATAATTAAAGACACCAATCGAAATAAATAACAGAAATGCAATATAGAAAACTAGTCTATTGGATGAAAAAATACAAGTTCGTTTTAATGACAAATTATACGAGCAATAAAATAATGTATGCATTATTCCAGAAGTCACAACTATATACACAAGAGATTATGGAAACACCTCCAAATTGATCCTCTTGATCAACTTGACGGAAGACAGACAATGGTTTCACACATAATATTACGAGATGAATACGTCTAACTATTTATCATATGTCGTCACTACGAATGCACAATTTCTGTGTCAGTTAAGCGCCCTTTTGAGGTCATTCCACTTACGCCGTAAGGCTTCTCGTTCATTCTCACTTTCTGCATATCGCATTTTATATTCAATAAGCATACTCTCAGTAGTAGCTAACTGATCTTCCAGCCTATTGTTTTGTGTAACAAGCCCAACGTTCTTCTTCGCTAGTGAATCCATCTCGGCACGTAGCTTTTCCTCTATCGCTGCAGGCGCATTATCTAATGCCAAACGAAGATCAGCGACTGTTTGGCGCAGCGCATCATTCTCATCTTTGACTTGAGCTAATTCTACCTTATTGCTCACGTGTAGGTTAGCTAATTCGATGTGTTCTCTATTAATTGTCTGTAAACTGGCTTCCAGCTGTTTAATTTGATTGGAGAGATGATTGTTGGCTATTCTCAGTTGTTCTAATGCTGACGATTCAGCTGCTTGTCTCTGTCTTTCTGCCTCTTGTATTGCATAATATTGTTTCTGATACTTGTTTAGTCTTCTCATTGTAATACTGATCGAATAAGCATCCTTAACAAACTCATTCGCATCGTACTGATGCTCAGAGACAACTTCTTTAGCAAGGACACCAGTAGGAATGATCTAGGACACAGCAAAACCATAGCCCACATTAGTAATGTTTTTCTCGTATAAAATGTACAATTAAATTGAGGGCATTCTTACCGCATAGCTGTTATATAAACCACTCTTAAGAAACTCGAGCAAAGCTTCGAACTCCATCCCGAGAATAGCAACCTCGTTCTTTTTGAGCAAGGCAATACAGAATCGGAATAGAGCTTCAACTCCCTCAGTGAATATAGTATCATATATCCGGAATACAAGAGAAAGCGGAAACTTGTAGGCGAATAATGTCATAAACCATTGAGATGCATACATTGATGAATTGATTCCTTGTGTTTTGAGATGAAGATTGACTTTGGGAAGCATATCTTCAACCAGTCTATCGAATTGATATAAACGCAATTGAAGTCCATCCATTCCAGGAAGGAAATTCCCACGTAGATTGTAAATAGTCATAAGGCGAACTAGAACACAGAATGCTCCTTCATCTGGCATCTACAAATTAATACCACGTCAATATATGTGTTGAGAGAGAAGAGGGGAAAGAAAGCACGTTAACAAAAGAGCATAACATACAATTTTACAAAAAAAAAAAAAAAAAAAAAAAAAAAAAAAAAAACGGTCTGACAGAATAGAAGAGTTAACTAGATTTAAGGATTAAAAAGGGCTACTAATATTCCTCTTTCTTTGCTAGCAAAGTATTTAATAGCAATAGTATTTTAACTATAATAAATATGAAATTATTTGCTATCTCGGATATTATGCAACCGCACTTACGTTGAGCAACAGTGGACCTACAACAAACGATATTCCTTGACAATATCCAACTTCTTTATCATATAAAGAATACGCTTTGACAACGTTAAACAATCCCTCCTGACCGATTCCATTCTGGTCTCGAAAGTATTCATGCTTCGGGAAAGTACGATTAAGATCTCTCATAATTAGCTTTTCATGAACGCTTGTTTTCTTAAGCAGTTGCGCATATATAGTCTCTAGTTCTACGTCTTTTGACTTTGACATCAACTGCCATATCATGCCTCGTAGTGGAGTAGGTATGCCTTTCTGAATCGTCTTTGATAAAACTTTTGGTTGGGACTTGGCGACTGCTTCGTAGTCATTGACAACAAGACCCCAAAAATCTGACAATTGAACGTCAAGTTAGCATTACACAGCGACACAGCTAACCCGACGCTTAGATATCAGCGGTATGATATACGATTAGTTTACTAGGAACCCCTCGCATCCAATAACTTACCCCAGTCAATATCATCTTCTACAGCCTCAGTTTGTACTCGCTCGAAACTTTTCTTAATTTCTCCAACAGCAGTCATATTAACTTTCTGTATTTTAGGATCATCTGCTAAAATCTGATTGTCTTTGTCCAGTTTTGCCAATAATAAATCAGTACTAGACCCAGTAGACAATAGTGAAGCCATAGACATATGCCTAGACTCGGTATTATCACTGACAGTAGTTGGAGGAGAAGCAGAGGAAGGTCGAGAACTAAATATTGAAGCGAATGATCTAACTGAATTGGGTGACTTTGGGAAATTCAATTCACCGGAAAAGTCATCATCTTCACCCTGTTCAATATGCGATGAACCAAGCGGAGCCAGAGTGGACAATGGTCGAAAGTACGAAGCAAAGGATTTCAGCGAATTCGGAGTACGTGGTAGATGATTAGAGAACCAGCCCCCAGAATTTTCTTCTTCACGTTCATCATCGTCGAGCGAGATATCGTTAAGTTCCGGATTCTCACCGAGAGAAGCAACAGACACGCGATTGGTTGGAGACTTTTCATTGTCGACATCATCTACTGTATCGACAGGGTTTCGATTGTAGTCAGAATAGCGGTCAGAGGAGAAACTGGACTTGGACATAATTGAATCGGCATCGGTTCTATCATCCATACTCGAAAGAAACGTGGGCGACGGGGGGATTGTTGAAGACAATGGTGACCCCGAGACAGCATTCGAAGTGGGATGGAACGATGTTGTGTGCTCGACTGCACTGTTGTCGTTATTACCGGATTCAGTCGAATGGTCTGACTTGTTATCATAATCACTTTCGCTTGGTTCTTTGTCCAAATCATTTTCAATAGACCATTCAGAAGGCGATATCTTTTGACTTGGATCATCCTTGCTAGTGACTTTCACCGAGTGCGATTCTGGTTTGTCCGATTCTGCCTCACTTGATGCATCGTCAGACGGATCGTTATCGGTGACAGATTTATCGTTGTCGTCTTCCTCACTATTGGGTTTAAGCATTTCCGGGAATCCGTCAAAGTGCTTGCTATCATCAAGTACGTTCTTTTTGAGCGAGTCGTGATTATTTGTTACATCTGCCTCGTCAGTGTGGAATGAATTTAGACTTTCGTCATCATCGGATTGTGCTGGCTCTTTATGGTGTTTCGTATCATTGCCATTGATTTGCTCTATTCTATTGCTATGTATCGAGTTCTCGGTGTCCCGTTCAAGGTGAATGAAGGAATTGTCTTCAGAATTAGCGGACGTGGGGGATTCAGTATTCCCGTCGTCTTCGTACACTGACGAAGACTCTGATACTACCGAGCCATCAGATGGTCTTCGTTGACTATGGGAATCGTTGTCACGATCTGTCTCATAAGAAGAGGCATAATCAGCGAAGTTGTCGTCCTCGTCCTCGTTGTTGGGATTGTAGATGTCGTTATTATCAACCGACTTTCGAGTGTCGTCATCATTCGGCTGTTGGGAGTCGGTTTGAGAGAAGTGTTGAGTTTTTAGTATAGTAGGTATGAGCTGTTCTTGCTGTACATCCGTTGCCATGAGTGTAGATTTGGAGGAAAGGAAAATTTGGGGGAAAGGGAATTGTACGTATAGATATAGAGAGTGAAAAATATCGAATTTAGGCTAGAATTGTAATTGCTATAAGGATGATATTCAGTGTCTCAAACATTGAATTATGCGTGTGTAATGTGTCTATCCTTATGGGGTATTATGGACTAGTCATGGTAAAAATGTAAATGAGTGTTGTTTGTTGGTGCATCGGATGTGGTTACTATTATCACCATGCATTGCTATTACCATATCTTCCGTTTGTACTCGGAATACTGGATAGCGAAACGGCTGGTGACATGGGGCGAGAGGCAAATCAAAGAAAGTAATGGTATTCGAACTTTTAGGAGTACTGGACGATTATTAGTGTTTAATATTAGTATTACCTTGTATTTTATGTTACCAATGAACGTGTTTATTGACAGCTACTTCCCCATTATTAATTGAATGTGTAAAACAAGTCACAAATTGTGTGTCAGACTGTGTCAAACTGTGTCTTTTTCGGCTATTCCTTCATTGTACTACCACAATTACCCCAATCGTTCAAACCATGATCACATGATACATTTAATTTTATAATTACATATCATTAATCTATAACGTCGTCTATTGATATATTCCCTAATAGTAAGAGTTCAAAGAAGTAATAGTCTGTAATTCGAACTTTCATTTACTGACTAACGCCAACAGCAAGTCTGATAGTGACAAGATGGATGATATGCATAAAATCAAAAGTCGTAATCATTGTTATGTACAGTATAACTAATAGTTGTTATTGATTATTTGAAGCCGTAATAGCACAAAGACCAATTCACATATGTGATGGTGGAATTAAAAGGCTGGGAAACAAGTGCGCAATAGTTGATCCGCTATCTTATATTCTTACGTGCCAAGATGACATAAAATATCACATATACGTGAATGGATGTTCTTTCCTTGTTGCACAATTAATTTTAACAATATTAATATATACATGCATACGTTTCTTCTAAGCTTAAAAGCGCCATTTGAGCAGACATAAGTTGATGGATTTTTTAGAGATTCATGTTTCTCTATTGATGCTAAGCAATTAAAAGTCAAGACAAAGCCAACAATTTTATTGTACTCAAACTACCGCTGCATGAGTGTCGGACTAATATGTGTTATGATCCATCCAGAGACTGATTCTAGAGACTGATCCTACTACCGAATTTCTAAAGTAACCAATCTCTAGCATTACAATTTAATATTGCAATCTTCTAATGCTACTATTGTAAAACAGCTTTAGCGTATCCACGTAGCTGTGCCAAATAAAGGATACACCAAACTAATGCTACTATTATTCAGCGCACATTGGAGAAATTATTGTCTACTGTTGGATGCAAATTTACAAAAAAATACTAAATATAATTTGATGTATATCGTTATAATCCATTTTTGTTAAAGCTTTAAGAAATAGGTCAGGTTTAAGATTAATTTTATCAGAAAAGGCTGTTTTAAATTTCTGCTCATAATATAATTAACCAAAATTTGAATAGTTATATCTCAAACCACATGTAGCATTTGTCAATTTTCTAAGCATTACTTGTTAATACGTAGGGTGTCTGAAAAGTTTTGACAATATATTTATCTTGATGATTTGTGCCTACTCAAATAAGTTAATAATGTAATTAAAGTTTAGGTTTCAGTCGATCTTGCATAAAAAACTGACACAATTTGATTTGATCATTGTTGAGAAATTTGCTTTAAAAATCCTTACTTTAAAAAAAAATATTGGAGAATACTACGTGAGAATGCCAACATTATTGCATTTTTTTGGCTAGAAAACGGTCAAACTACAAAAAATTTTACCAAGAGTTGAGAGTTGTTGAAGAACCCAATGCACTGTCTGAACGCGGATTGAAAGTATTTTGAAGATGGATATGAGATAACTCTCTGCGAACAGCATTTTTCGCGAAACTGTTGCCTGCAAAAAAATTGCAAAGGTGGAGAAACTGATAAATGATAATCCCCCATAACTGTAAGAATGATAGAGGAGTAAATTGGGTTTTCTGAAGAATTGAGTACACGTACATCTTACATAGTCAACTCGATCTCAATAAAAGTGTGTTCAAGATGGATTTCATACGTCATGACAATGCACCACCTCATAATTAATTTTACATCTTTATTACAATCCGGATCTGGTTCCTTGTAATTTTTTCTATTTTTTAGAATAAAAAAAAAACAGAGCAAAAAGAAGTTGAAAGTCTCTACAAGCTGTCCGGGTAGTGTCTCATAACATACCAAAGGGGCCTTTATAATTGGTGAAAAAGCTGCAACATTGTATAGAAATAGGCTAAGAGCAATTTAAAGGGATGCAACAATTTATTTTAAAACTATTATGTGCATCTTCAAGAAATAAATAATATTGTCAAAACTTTCTACGTATTAACTGAATAAGGGCCTCTTTCATCATAAGGTGGCTCTTATTCATGAGATGTTGATCTACGAATCGTCACGTAACAACTGTCTGCGTTATCTCTGTTTAGTACATAATCACGAACTGCATACTTCATATGATGTTCGAACTAGTGGGTGATGCGAGGGGTGGGGTTAACTATTTTACAACATTACAGGCCTTATCATGATCGCAGTTTTTTTTCATATGGAGAGGCTCTTATTCATGGTTCATGAGAGTTTACGGTATATGATATCAAGAAAAGCAAAATGGGAATTTTAAATTATTAATACAGAAATGCTCGTATTATTGTTTGAAATGCATCGATTTTGTTTGATGCGTACTTGTGCCCCCCCCCCCCGTTATACAAAACTGTGTTGTATGTCGGGTCGGACTGTATTACGTCGTCCTATAGCGAGCCTGTTAGCAGGATATCGTAGCTTGGAAATAAAGTGTCGTATTACGTCCTATAATTAACGACACGTTAACATGATTATTTTATCTACTTTTTTGCTCTTGGATTAAAATTTAAAGATCGGTTTAATTGTTTATTGGGTTTTTTTCTTCAATAGCTTGCATATGTAGAATTTGCAGTCTATATTGTCTTTTGACCAGCAAATTGACTTCGTTTATGAAGAATTTTTATTTACATTTTCATTGTAGCAAAGGAAATGACTCGTGATAATTCGTTTGCAGTAATTAGTATTTAGTAATTAATATTATAAAAGTAGTTGTGTTATTATTAGTATCTGATAGGATTATACGTAACTGCGAGTCGATTAATTCTGCAACCAAACGGTCTGATTTCATTAACTTAATTCTCCCGCTTGCAAACTCAAAGGGCGCATGCAATCTAATTCGTTGATTCGGATCTCACAAAATTATAAGTACAAGACGAAAATTTACTAGTAAAACATATAAACCCCTTTATTTTCGAAAATCTCTATTGTCCATATGTACTATGTAACCCACAATGATTTTTTATGCCGTTTTGAAGCTAATTGACTGTATTTTTCGAAAAGAATGGTGTGAAATTAAATTAGTTATTGTAATGAAGAAGTAGTGGCGGCATTTATGTTACACATATCATTTTCATATGTAACATAAATGCCGCCACTTCATTGAACTACGGCTTTGAAACGATAACAGGTCTGAAATATATCATTATTTTTTCCGAAAAATACAATCAATTGGGTACCAAAATTATTGTATGTTATATACAAGTGGCTCTCGATATAAGAACCCTTCGATATAAGAAACTTTCGATATAAGAAAGTATTTTTGCTGGACCCGATTTAAAATCTTATAACAAATGACTCTCGTTATAAGAGATTTTCGATATAAGAAAGGAATTTGTTGAGCCCCGATCACTTTCTTATATCGAGAGCCACTTGTAGTACGTATGGACAATAGAGATTTTCGAAAATAAAGAGTTTCATATTTTTACTAGTAAATTTCGTCTTGTACTTATAATTTGCCAGGGGGTGTAATATAGTCAATATTTGTTTACATAATTTTCTTACAGCAATTGTCCCATTGAACATACTGAACTATTAAAGACTATCTGAAATATTATTCTACTCTTCAACGTAAACCTTTTCAATTAATCAAAAACTTTGAATCTGAAGGTTGTAGATGAAGACTGTTAAAGTAGCAATGCTCTTTTGGTCCCCATTGGCCTTCCAACATCCTACTTACCTCTGGTAATTTACGCTTTTGTTTTGTTTATCTTTTTTACTAAAAGTACAATAATTAACCAACGTCATAAACTTGTAACTACTATATGGGCAACTTCGCATAAATTTTTATTTTGCTAAACCATGTTCTGGTAAATTCGAACACTCTTATAATCAACGTCATCTTGGCCAAATAGCCCAGACCTTAAGCTGATCAATAAATTCTAAAGACACGGATTGAAAAAAAAATTTTTAGTAAATTTTTGGTAAAAAAGCAAATAGTCAAATATTTACAACACATATTTTCTTAGCTAAAATCTCAATTTTGCGGTATCTGGCTGGTCAATTCTAGTCTTTAATTCTTTCATAGCTAACTGTCTTCTTTAAACATAGCGAGAGCGAGTGCCTCTCAATGTTAAGACTGTTGGGTTCTAGAAAGCATCGAAATCGGATACTTTTAGGCTCGACCAGTGTTTATAGTTGTAGCTGAATTTCAAAGTTTGCAATTACTAGTTTTACTGGTTCTATATAGTTGGATGCAGTGACTGGGGTAAGAATATTTATTACATACCCTCTATACGGAAACGTGTTTCTAATCATTACTTTCACTAATTACGTTGTCTTTTTAGATTTATGGAGCGACAGGCATAACTTGAGAAGCCTCATTGATGACAATTTATTTTTCAAATCCTCACACTTGATTGGACGAGAAAGATTGTTCCAAGACCCTTTGTCGGAAACATGCAAAAATTAAACGGTCAAAACTTTTCAACCCCACGTATTTATAAATCAAATTTTGTTGGATGCCTCGTTGACGGCAGATATGACATTGAACAAGTACGGCCGTACCCCACAATCTCCCTTCAATATCCTCGACAAAGCGGGATAAACTCAAAAAGAATAAAGTGTGAGTTCAAAATTCGCTTGAAAGGTTTTTTATTACAGTTACCTTACTGGTTTCTTAAGAAATTAGGTTTAAAAACTCGATATCAAAACCAATGGCTTCAGTTATCCATGAAATCATAGATACTTAATTTTACCTTCATTAAATGGTGGATTAATAAATTGACAATGTAGGGAAAATATTAAAGAAAAACCATGCTCAGAAAGGCCCAATGCGGCTGTTAAGTGGCCAACAAATCTCTTATATAACATGAGAATTAGAAACTAGCATAGGAATTGTCATTATAAGCAATAAATATTAACTAAATGTCTTCAAAAATCAGAGGCAGAAAAACGGTGCAAAAATGTTCCGACAATGCACTACACATGGAGCATCACTTAGTTATAAACTTACTACAACAGAACAAGTGCATCTGCTCCCTCATCCTCTTTATTTCTGTAACATTTTCTTATTTCCAAGAGTTATAATAACATTTATTGTGGTCTTCAGGCAGTTGTTGGAAGCAATCCAAAAGAGGGTTATTACAAATCCTTCGAGAATTGGGATAGCTGAAACTTTGAAGAACCTATTGGCAAATTATTATGTACGTTTGTGAAATACAATCACGTGATCAAACTTTTCAACCACCCCACGTATTCTTCATATTAGCTTGTTCAGAGAATACAGTATACTGCATTGCAGTAAGAGTCTGAGCAGAGTTTGTAAAAAACCTTCCGAAAGAATACTATCAGTTTTGTTTTTTTTTTTAATTTGTATTAAATTCTGGAATTAATTCTTTCTCATTGACTCGGCAAAAGAAAAGCGGGCGACTTAACTCCTTCGCGGGGAACTGCCAATCTGAATGTCAATATTTCTAACACTTGCAAATTATCCTACATCTTCTATAGAAGAACCATCGCTTTTATACCACTGCATCAAGCCCATTATTGAGAGGGTTTCTGATAAAGTACTTGTCATCTTTCGTGTATTTTCAACCAAGTGCGGCCAGAGCTGTTCTTTCATTGCCAATATTTATTTTTCATAATTAGCTTGAGTTTTCTAGAGCCTAGTCGTTCAAGTCTTCAGCAACAACTAATTGAGCGACATTACCAATTCAAGGCAGTGAAAGTGGACCAGGAATGAGAAATTCACGAGTGAAATATAATAATGAAACATACAGTAAAGTATAAAAAGTTCCAAATAGAATTTAAACCGTCTCAAAGAAAAATGAGTTTAGAAGAGTTCACGCTGACATATGAGGATTAAGTCCGTTCCTGTTCATGATTTAATTGAATGTGTGAATTGTCCAACTTGCGCGCGCGCCTTTTATAGACAGTAAAAATGAGACTCTTATCAAGTTGACCGATAGAGGCTAATATAGCCAGAAAAATTGCATAGAATTTCAGAGTTGATAACAACTCGAGTTTCTCGCATATTTGAGATGTCGCTTCAAGTAACCATTTACTATGACTTATTCAATGTAACATTGTCTTATTTTCAAACAAATATAGTATACGGATAATAGAGGTTTAATTGTCAAGCCGAAGCGCCAAGCTTTTTCGTTGTTATATTAACAGCATATAAGTCAGATTATGAAGCATAAGCATCTCTAATTTATCCTGTAATGTGTTAAAACTAACTTTAGTAATAAAGTCGTATTCGATAGTATAAGTGTAATCATCGTCACGGTGCCTGTTTTGTTTCACATTCAATGTGTGGGCCCTTAATAGTGCATAGTAGAATGGTTGGTTATTGCAAAACGCATAGTTTGACATCCTGTTCCTTGTTGAATATTAATATGCATTCACACACAGACACTTATACTTGTTACAATTGCATCGAAAACGTTCTTTTTGTTAAAGTGTATCTGAAACCAACCTCCATTCATGGGCTGGATGTGGGCGCTGTGATATGAAACTTGACTGTGCACCAAAGATAGTTTATTAATGCATTTTGAGTTAAAGTCGTTTATTCATACAAAAATAGATGTTATTTTAAAAGGGAATGATTAATAGTAATAGGTACTCCGAAACAATGCGCCATTTTTTCTAACCTTCCATTACTGATTCGCATGACAGGTATTGACAGGATTTTCGTTGTTCTTCCATGTTTTGTAATACCGCCTCATTAATTTCAAAGATCTGTTTTCAGAATTTGAATTCGAACCCATGCATATATTCTTGTCTAGTGTAACTTATGGCCCAGTCATCTCTTCTGATACTTCTGTATTTGCTGCAAACGTTAAAAATTCTATAATTAATTGTTCAGGTTTTTCGGGGACTTTTCACATGAAGCCATCCGAGATTATCTCCAGACTATTGTTTGTACGAACACCAATTTAGTACTTAGTAGAGGGAACCGATTGTTTACCGCCTCTTTTCGACTTGGCAGATCCTAAAGCACATGGTATTTCTTCATCTCTATTTAGGGTGTGCCCCATTTTGACCCCATTCTCATGCAATCAGATCACTTTGTGGTGATCGAAGGGTACACGACCCCGTCTGCTTTACGAATGCAAGCGACTTGTCTTCCGTCTGTTTTCCCCTTGATTAACATCCCCACCGCTGGTGACAGTAGTCTTGCAGAAAAAAACCAATTACAAGACCGTTGTCTATCAGGATTACTTGCAGTAAAGGCTGTAATCGACGAGGTAATGAGCACGTGTATTAAAAATTACTGGATAAGCCGATTATACTGAATATGCAGTACAGCGTATCGGCCCCTCCCTCTCTAAAAACGCTGTGTTTAACACAAAACAGTCATCTTTCAATTACAAAACCTGGCTTCTAAATTAGGTTATCTAGCGTTATTTCTTGTTCGCCAAGGTTGTGTGGACTATTATTATTGAGACATTTATGCAAGTCTCTCAAATAAAGTTTCATACTTGCGGTAGTTTGACTGCACATAATTAAGAATAGTCAATCCTGTGACCGGAACCTGTAACCTATAGTGCATGTAACCACGATCTATGACCTGTGGCTGTAACCATTGTGTCAGTAGCCCACGAGTAGTAGCATTGGAATATATATTTAACGGCCGCAAAATATGTTTCTGGAACAGAGGACTTTTTTCTAAGAAGGTAGGAAGCCTCCTTTTCCAGATCGAGATAATAATTGGTAGTAATCACGCACATTCTATAATTAATATTTTCCACCTATAGTGGATTAAAATATTAGCAACAACCAAAGTTATCCTGTGCACTAACTAACATGTCCTTGTTCGGCAATTCAGCTGGCAAGTCAACTATAAATGCACGTCATAGAACCTATCTCGAGAACATACAGTGATGGCGTTTAAGTTTCGTGGACAAGAGGACACACTTATGTTGAATAAAGATATTGTTGTATAATGGTACGACTGTAAAAATTCATTTGGGAGACTAAGGTAGTATCGAGACTAGCACCGAGTGTTACAAAGCCTATTTTCTTTGTCACTCAATTAACGTTTATATTGAGACGCCGATATTAAAAATAAAATTAATGAAAATCAAACCAAACAATAAATATTAGTAATTGATCAAGTATTAAAAGATATATGATTTAAATATAGGAAAAACTTATCTGCAATTAGTTAAGATTTAATATTATTATCGGAAAATAAGAGGATAGTGACATCGAACATGTGCTGTTGGTTGGTTATCGATGAATTGGAGACTTGACAAAGGATATTTAGTTTTATTTTTGATTCCTCTTTTTACCTTTCCGTGCAATTGTCGACAATCACACGATTGAGCCAATATATGCAGTCCAACCAATCGTTTGCGTGACTGTATTTATTGGATTCACAGAATAATCTAATTTATGGATCACTTTTGGTAACAACTGCGTTTGACTGCGCTCAATACTAATTATTACACAATCGCGTAAATGAATAAAGGCTGTACTTATCATAGACAAACACACCATTTCTTAAAACTGTGATTTTAATACTCTTACCACAAGATATCCTATTTGTTATTAATATGTTAATGCACGCAATAACTGAATTATAGCTTCTTTTTCTTCATTAAATACAGACTCTATTTTTATCTTTGAAAAATAATAAAATTCTATGCATGTTTGTTAGATAATCTGATGTGTGCAATGGCTAACAATACTAAGGCAACCAAAACGGACAAAAATTGATTAAAATCAATGGCACCCTTGTTGTAAGCATTTGGTTATGAATATTATGTTATGTATCAGCATGCAGTTCGATTGTAGACACAACTTTTGATCGATCTATCGCTATTTTAGATGTTTGGTTGCTGATAAAAGCTACAAATGGAAATATTAATACGAGATTTCTGGGTACTGCGTTATGTAATATCAACGGATTTGGAAATCTAGAGTGTAACCAGGCTCTTTGATTAAAAGTTTTAGCACGCTGTCAATTTATTACAACCATTTTTAAAAGGAAAGCAGTATATGGACCCATTATTGATATTAGACTGTGAACATTTCATTATGATCAGCAAGTCTCTAAGTTGTGGCATGACGAAATAGAATATTTTGTTAATAGATGTTTTTCATAGTTATTAATCAAGTCTACCGGGTAGTCGATTGTCACGCTTTCACCACAAGAATAAAAATTGATTTCGTTTTGTTAGACATATGCAATCGTGTACGGATGGTACAGACTCTTGATTATGACCTCATTAAATTGACAAGTGGAATGAATCAGCGATATTATGACTAGTTTGGTGACAATGCCAGCAATTTAATCCCATGGATATAGAACACTCGGAAATTTAAAAATAGTAGCCAATAACTGGTAAACGTTATTGATATTAATTCATAATTATTATTGTAACAATAATCGATTTCCATTAAACTATTTATTGATTGATACATCATATTGATATACAGTAAATATATTATACATTTATACGTTCCGTGAATATACTGTTTACATTACCGAGAATCAGTCATAGAATGACGTCATAGCAGATAAGATAAATTGATACTGTAAGAATGAAAAAAGATCCCTTTGAAATGATCGACAACAGACCTTCCCACGACGTCGAATTCGTGAACGAATTACAAATCGTTTGATTTGAAAAGGAAGGAGTTACACTGTTAACAGTGAGAATCCTATTACTATGGTAGACATTACTTTTTACCATTGATCATGTGATTCTCTTTCATCAGGGCTTTTTTATTTTTCATTGCATTCTTTTCATCTGTTTCTGTAAGTGTCACATTTTACTTCGTGTGCTTATTACCAAATATGTCTATATAGACATTTTTAAAAACGAGTTTGAATGCAGGTAAATGAACTTGTGAAGAAAATGTGTTGGGTTATTTTTGTCGAAATTGATAACGTGAAAAATGGGCAAATTTGGTATTTTATGAAATGTGTGGGTGTATATACATATGAATTAAGGCAGAGTGTATTCGGTTCGTTGCGAGTTTTTGGGAAAGCAATGCTTCGTCAGGGTAACTTGTTGGTCATATGCAATGATAGGGCGAATCAAATACAGTACGACGTTGAGCATACTCCCCCCCCCTTGTTCCTAACACTAATCAGAAAAGAATTTTTCTATATTTAATTTTGATATTCTTCCGGTTATCGCTGACAGTAGTAGTAGTGATCTGTGCTTGCAATTTTAAATGTCGTGGTGGTCAATTGACCCGAATTGAGTCATGTCCCTTTTTTTCATCATGTCAGGTTATACTAAATTCAATTTATTGTTTTTATTTACTGTACTCACATTGTTTATTACGTAATTGCTTACGTACTCTATCCCAATTGCTGTTCAGATTCAACATATGTTATCTTTTATTCATGGTTGTAGACTCTCCATTGTTTCATGCATTGACCAGGTTCTAGAATTGGGGGAGACGTTCAATAAGAGATGCTAAATATGGAGGATAATGTTACAAGAGTACTAAAATTGGGCGACTGTGCATGATTTCGTTTTTAAGCATTCAATGATATAGAGTGATTGAAGGGGTACACGAAATGCATCGAATAATATAGCATTCATTACTATTTGGCGTAACTTACCCGATCAAAGATAATCGAACTATTGTGTCTGTGTATGCAATCTGATAAAAGAGTAACCGCCCCTCTAGCATCGACGCCCTATCGTAATTGACAGCCATAATATATTCAAGCGACTTTATTATGTTACATGCACAGAGTTACCCAATCATTATTTGTCACACTCTTCCGAAATTATGTTTAGAACTAAGTGATAACGAATACATAATGTAGGTTAGGGTTTAAAAACAAATGTGTCATAAAATACTGGATGGTCGCATGATTGCTCGCATGATTGTGTATTTCTTAGAAACGAATGGTTTGTATGCATTTTTTATTGTGACATTGTATATTCCATTCCTCTGACATTGAAATGAATCCTTTCACTTGTTTCTCCATTAAAACATGTATGTACGCTTACAATCGTTATCAAAATGTAATTCTCCGTTGTTGTGTGTCATTGAACGCTTTTTAATCCATAAACAAAATTTTGTCTATTGTGATTTCCATAAATAGAATAAGCAATGGGATTTTTTGTTATGTGGCGTATGAATGGAAAAAAGAAAAAAGAAAAAAAAAAAGTACTGCGTGTGAAGTGTAAAGACCGTAAAAGCGGCTTTGTACATATCTGGATAAACTGTATACATGTATACATAGTGTATATTTATACATTTACAATGATACATGCTATGTATATTTAATCCATTGGGTTGCGTATAAACAATACATCATTTTTTATCATTATCTCCAAACACTTTTATGTAAATATACCAAATTAGGCATTTTTTACAATGAGTAATTGACATATGGGCAACAGAACAAGAGAAGTCTTTGGAGAATGAGCATTTCACTGGCTTATTAATTATTTATGGTAATTAACTATCAGTGTCTGCTGATTCGCCGGTGCATTCATTGATGCGCTACGTATCTACTCGTATCACGTCCGCCCATGTCCGCCCTATCACGAATGGAATGCAATATTGTCTGTTAGTGATAAGTAAGTATGAATGAATGAATGGATGTATGTCTGTATGCATGCGCAATTGATTTAACTGCATGTACGATTACATGTATGACATTATAGAATTATCATCTTTTCGCCAACATGCTGCTTCCTACTGGATGGGCATCCCCGTACGAGGCGTCCATTGATCAGTAAGGCATTATTGGAATGTGGCAGGGCGGCAACGTTTTTGCTATGTACGTAAGTGGGAAACGGAAAAAGAAAAAAAAAGGGGGAATGGAGGGAATGGACAAGAATAAGAGGAGAATGGACGAAAAGGAGGAGGAGACACAATGATACAAAGGCAGCATTCGCACTACCATTATAAATTAATGCTATTAAGAATATTTGGTGTTAGCTCTGCTGGTATCGCATAACTTCATAGCAATACAAGATTATGTAGACTTTTTGAAATTCACATGACCGTCGATCGTTTGAAGAAGAAGCGTTTGGCAAAGCAGAGTTAATGACATTACTAATATTGTTCTGGTTCTGGTTCTCACTTTGATTAGTATCGGGTACTTTGCTTTGCTTATTTGGTAAAGCACCGGGACATTACCGATTAATTGTATGACTCTTTTATTGTGCGATATATATATACATATATATATTGTATGATATCATAGCATTGCCAAGCTCCTGAATTCCAAACTTGCCATTAAATTGTAGAACAAACCCCACCATTGCATCGCCATTCCCAGAAATGCGTTTGCATCTGTAAACCGCATCTTTCCATTATCTACATCTGCAAAAAGTTTAGATTATCTTTGCTCCTCTCGCACCTCTCGCACCTCTTGCACCTCTCCTCTCGCACCTCTCGCACCCTCTCGCACCCTCTCGCACCCTCTCGCATCCTCTCGCATCCTCTCGCACCCTCTCGCACCCTCTCTCTCGTCTCACCCATCTCTCTCGCATCTCCTCTCCCTCCATTTCCGTTACCTGATATCGCTGCGATGTGTCACTAAGCCGGTGGATATTTGGTAAGCATACCCCGGGTACTAAACAATGCTATTTCATCATAAAATTCATATATATGCTGTATATACTGTATATACATGTAAAGTAGTCAATTATACTAGCTTGATATAGTCTTTCTAACTGACTAACCGAAATTCGATCCATAATACCTGTATATGATTTCATTCAGCCACTATTTTCATATCATCCAGTAAAAACCAACGATTGTTCGTTTTGGAATGAGAAGTAAAAATAAGGAAGTAAATGACTATGATAAGTTGTATTTATATTGTCGTAATATATTTGCTTATATTAATTCGTTGTATATATTTGCTTATATTAATTCGTTGTATATATTTGTCTTACTTACCATTTTCATCATTTCTATTCAGATCACAAATAGTGCTATTCTTAAAAGTCTATGGGCCATGACAGCGAGAATTAGAGGTGCTTCAATTGTAATATTTATATGAATATGTATTGTAATGTACATAATAAATTATTGTATATTCCACCATTTATTGTGACATTTGTTAAGAAATGGTATATATTTATGGCAACTTGAATGAAAGTCTTTCTTTTCGCATACCCGTTTATATGACAAAATGTACGTGTTGTCTATGTTTATTATTAACCCCTCCGACTGTTTACAATTACATAACATTTAGCAAAAATCTATAAATATTGCTTCATCTCGCCCACTTTATCCTTTCAAAAGTTCTTTCCCTTCCCTCGACCCTCCCCGTATCCCCCAGAAGACAAGTCCAACCACTCCCCCCCCCCTCCCCCAAACCTTCCTCTCTCCACAGAAATGTCAGACGTCTCACTTTCAGACTATAAACGTTTTTTCATAAACATCTCCACACACGTTGCTGTCATCCATGTCAAATGGCCTGCGTATCGCTCTACCCACTCAGACCACATCAAGCAGAACCACTCTCTCCTTAATCAATGGATAATGGACGAGGACAAGTCTCCTCTCCTCGCTCTATTCACTCCCGAATGGAGTGCATCGGTCATAAAATATTACAAAAGTCTGGAGAAAGAGGGGAGCATGAGGAGAATTATGTTCCATAAGACACATGACATATCCAAGTGTCTGAATTGCGGAGAGAGAGAACGGGTTGTGGTATGTGGAGAGAGAGAGAAACGATGGACAAGAAAAAGAAAGTTTCCTAATTGTAGAGTGTTTCATGTAAACGAAGATGAATTTGATTTCCGTCTCTACGTCTCCGGTCCAGCAGAACATTTAGAAAAATACCATCCATTAGATCAATTAGTGGCTTACTTTCCATTCCGGAAAGAGATCGCTGATGATATATTCGGATTTTATTCCATCGAGCGCTCATCAACACACGAACAAAGTTATAAGCTAACAAGAAGGAAAAGAACAGAGATAATTGGAAATATGGCTATGAAATTGTACAGAGTTGCTTACAACGGTACTAGTGCATATAATACAATAAGCGGATATAACAGCGCATATAATGGTTGCGTTAACAGGCTAAATGCAATGGGTGGACTTTTATTACCGACACTGCCTCCCGAGCTGATTATATACATATTGGAGAGTCTAGGCAGAGAAGACATGTCGGATTTAATTCCGACTATTCTCGTATGTGCCAGAGTGAACAAGTGGTGGTAAGTAAATAAATATAAATATTAAAGTGCAGGTGAAGTTTGTAGACTTGAGCAGAGCAAACCCCCATTCTCCCTTCCCACTGTCTCTTCCCTTTCTACACACATAGACTCGATATAGACATAATAGACTCTATATTCTCATACATAATATTACTTGCTCAATATAACCATACAAACAACCCTACCTCCCCTTCATCCCCGTAACTCTTTATTCTGTTGACCATCTGTGTCGAGACGCAGTTACTTTCCCCCCCGTTTCCTAGTATATATTTGTCATTGATTGAAGTATACCCATTTAAGAACATTCTATTGATAACTTAACTTTTTAGTAATCCTTTTTATAAGTTAACTCGTACAAAAAACAAACGCTTTCAACACAAAGCATGTAATTGACCAGTATGCACGTTCATCTGCAGACACAACAGCGAATAGGAGTCATGATTGCTTTATGCGTACAGTATTGTTATGTACATATTATTAGTAAAACCTTGTTATGTAGTATATAGTATATACATATATATATAAGGTATATCATATAGGAAACAGAGTTCATATTCATCTCATCGATTTACCTTCTTTACTATCTTTACAGGTGTAATATAGCTCGAAAAGTATGGTACAATCACTTGGACCTCTCATCGATAACGCAATTCACAAAACTCGCCTCGTCCACTGGCTCGATGTTCTCTTACATCAACCGTCTCTCAGTCTCGATAACACTTCTCGACTGGATGCTGTACAACCCGTTCTGTCAGCGCACCTGCCATTACACCTTTGAATCATCAGTTCTCTCAATACTGCAAAAATCAGTCAACCTACAAGAGCTAAAAATATACTTTAAGCTTCCACACAGTCAACTTACGTATACATATCCATTCTTAATGTATAATCGAATGGAAACATGTCAAGTAGCCGGATGGGAAATAAACACGCCGCATGGAAAACGGAATTTAATAGAAGACTCTTTGATAAGAACCTTCAACAGCTTGACTTCACAGATAGAATCACTGGACGAAAGGGAACCGACCGCAACAAAGGTGATCAAACTTCGCAAGATAGGTCATGACGCTCCCCTTAAACTCTTACTCTTTCAACCACCCAGTGATGCCCTCATTTCTGCTATTCGGGCGTATGTCCATGCCTTCCGTGATCGTCACGATCGATACTATCAACAATTATTCACTGCTCATGTGACGAATCAACATCGAACTCGGTTCGAGTCTCAGTTGGATCTTGGGTATTTCATGGTTGTATGGGTTGTCGGACACAAGGACTGTTTTGACAGAATCGACGCATGGTTCAAGACTACCAAGCAATTTAGTGATTGGGATAAAGGAATACCGGTTGGGTTCATTGGAAAGAATGGGATGGTGAAAGTCGTTGATGACGAGTGCGGAGTCAGCGATAACGTGGTCAAGTTGCTTGGTTTAAGGTCGTCGCTATTGATTGGATCGTATATATATCGTCGAAGTCAATAATAAGTTTATAAGATGGATGATTTATTGGGGGGGGAAAGTGATGAATAAGAAACTACGAGGCTCCGTTGGACCACGAAAAACGTCGATGGATTATATGAAGTCAAGTCGAATGACTAGTCATTCATTGACGGTTGTGCAGTCACCTGGGACTGGGTGGTCCACAAGCTTTGTATATGTGGGTCAACGGACTATAAGAGACATTGGAGCTATGTGGTCAACAGATTAATGGACTATATAACATATATATTAAGATCAAATAACTTTGACCTGTGATATTGATTGTCACATTATTCCATCGTCAAATACTTAACGTATTAACTATCCCCTACTTACTGTGTATATTTTTTTTACTATTCTGACTCTGCATTGCCTTTCTTTTCTATTTCCCTTTCCTAGCATTTTAGCAATTTAATCACGAATTGCCATTTACACTCATCTGTATATCATAATACTCTCTCATAAGCAGAATTGTCTGTGACAATTACTGAACCAATAACAAAGAAATAATAAAAGGTTGTAAAAATACATTATATTGTTTTATAGCGAAGATTATTGAAGGTCGTGAATTCAGTTTAAACAAGAAATTGAACATTTATTTGCATTGAAAGTTCTTATATATACTCATATACACATGCATAAATCATAACGCGCTTTGAATAAATATGCTAAAAATAGTTACAACACGATCACGCAGTATATATAATACTTTTTTTTTCTCTCAAGGGTTTCCCAACAAAGGGTCTCTTTCTCCCACTCTCTGATCCCTCAACCTGTACCAAGCCGCAATTTTATGCACCCAAACCCTAATAATACCACTGACTATCAAACCAGAGGCGGCGAAAGCAGAAATCAAGATGGGCTTCTCGTCCTGACTTTTCAAAGCGATAGTGACCAATCCCCAGACAATAGTGCCAGAGTACACGACATCCTGCCTATGGTAATAGTCAACAAAGTGCAATCCGATAATACCGAGGATTACAATCGCGATGGTGGAAAAGAGGACAGTATTCAAAAATGGTATGGTGATCCATATGTTGTTGACTGTTTCAATGGTTATCCAACTCAAGTAGATGGTGAACGACCAATGAACGAAGAGACGGTCAAAAATATTCTTGGGAGGGTAATATATGATATTGTGATATATTTTGGACAAGAGCATGAGCAGGCAGACCGATAATACGGTATTGAGGATGGGGAGGTCTGTATAAATCTGGTAAATAATTTGATAAGAATTAGTGGAGTCTATTATGGTGGGTATTTTCATTTTCGAGCAAAACATTGTATAGCTTTAACCAATACTGTCACAGTTGATATGCACTTACCCACACAAGTACGAAACTAACGTTCAACACGCTAGCAATAACATGGTCCCATCCGATTCCTTCGATGACAGCATCCTTGGCGGGAGGACACCATTGATAAATAACAAAGCCACCCAACAAGAGGTAAATCAATCCAAAAATGGATTCGGCATATTCTGGAGGAGACAGGAATGTGTCGGACTTTGAATTGGTGTCATTTGTCAACGGATTGATTGAGGAGCCGTCGTCGTTATTGTCGTTGTCGCCACTCGAACAATTCGCGAAGAGCACGATGTTTACGCCGAGTACGGCCAAGTAAGCGATTATGTTCGAGATTTTAAGGGCCAATTCGTGTTCACCCATTGCTAATTACTCGTCGTGAGGGTTTTGTCGTCAAACTGGGATGGTGGATTTTTCAGTGTGTTGGTGATAATCAGATGTCGGGCTAACCATCAATTTATATAATTAACCGAGAGGGCGTAATCACTTAATTTCATGAACGACAAATAATATCCTTGTAAGTCTCTCCCGCCTAATTTTCCCTTGTACAAAAAACAACAATCAGTTCAATTACAATCAGTGTCCACAAGAGATCTTCCTTTTATGTATTGCCATCTATTTTTAAGATCATCATAGATTATTGAAGGGGGTGTCGTGAGATTATCAATATCGCTTTTCGCTTTGCACATGCACCTGGCCCTACGAAATAGTATGAATGGTAAGAAGAGGTGGTGGAAGCGGGGGAGCGGGGAGCGGACGAGATGGAACAAGAAATTGAAAAAAAAAAATAAAAAAAAAAGATTGGAAAATTGTCGCAAGTGTATGCGGTTCATTTAAAGTACCATTTTTGGTCTTTTAGGAATGCGCGATCACGCAATTGTATAAATTTTATCCGAGAAATTGTGTAATTTAGCGCAGGACATTTGGCGTTTTTTTTGGGGGGGTACCACATTCCGGATGTTGTGTTGATTACGAACTACACGTCTGAAACACAGATAAGATAGTAAAAGTAAATAGAAATCCATACTACAAAGATGTCACCTGCTGAAACTTCAATATCGGCTGTTCTGCAATACAAAGGAAACATAGACTCACGCGAATTGCCATGGTTAGTCTGTCATTTTACATATACGTGTATAACATAGTGGTTCCTGTCTTTACGACGCGTCTAATGCCTTTCTAAAGGGTAGAAAAATATCGGCCTCGTCTCCTCAAGGACATAGTTGGTAACGAGGAGACTGTGTCGAGACTCCAAATTATTGCAAAGGAGGGTAATATGCCCCATATGATACTAGCCGTAAGTTTCGAATCAGTGAATGTATATGACGCGTGTCCTGGCTATGTTGGTATTGGGGAAAGCACGATCATTGATGTATAGGTGTTGGATGGATAGGGTAATCCTGGAATTGGCAAGACGACTAGTGTCGAATGCCTGGCTTACGAGTTATTGGGCGATAGCATGAAGGATGCCGTATTAGAACTAAATGCATCTGATGACAGGTGATGTATGCATAATGTACGAGCTGATGTACGTATTTGTATAGAGTCATTGACTCTCAATGTTCTCTTGTTCTACAGAGGAATAGACGTAGTTAGAAATAGAATAAAGACCTTTGCGCAGAAAAAAGTCACTCTCCCGCCTGGAAAACACAAGATTGTAATACTCGATGAAGCTGACAGGTAACAGAAAACACTTGACGCGCATGTCGTTTTTATATTCCATTGTCTTCCCATTTTTCATACTCCCACTACAATGTCCCATCAGCATGACGCCAGCTGCGCAACAAGCTCTCCGTCGAACAATGGAAATATACTCTCAAACCACACGCTTTGCTTATGCCTGCAACACATCATCCAAAATAATCGAACCAATTCAATCTCGCTGTGCCATCTTGCGCTATGCTCGTCTTTCCGATGATCAAATACGCAAGCGTCTCTTGGAGATCTGCTCGTACGAGAATGTCGAATATAGTGACGACGGTTTGAATGCAATTGTCTTCACGGCTGAAGGCGACATGCGCCAGGCCATCAGCAATTTACAGAGTACGGTTTCTGGATTTCGCTTTGTGAATTCGGATAACGTCTTTAGAGTCTGTGATCAACCTCATCCTGTCATAGTAAAAAAAATTATTGAGAATTGTATCAAAGGTGAAGTTGATCCTGCTATAGAGGACTTGTCATTCTTATGGAAGCAGGGGTACAGTGCTCTCGATCTTGTTAGCACTTTATTTAGAGTGGTGAAGGTCTATTCTGATATTGATGAATATCTCAAGTTGGAAGTGCTGAAGGTATAATTGTTCTACTTGTATAAGAGCTCGTTTTATCATCTCTATTATATCTTTAATTGTATTCTCTCTTCAATAGGAGATTGGGTTTACTCATATGAGAATCCTTGACGGTGTTCAGAGTTTGGTTCAATTGTCAGGATTAATCGCAAAACTATGCAAGAAATCAATGCCACAGGACGAATTCCCTGTTTAAGCGATATCGGAAATTGGTAATAGAAGAAAAAGGGTTATATGAACATTGTAATTGAGCAACGAGTTATGTGGCTTTGTAATATACGACTGGTCAACATATACAACGTTGAGTACCAGATAATCAATCATGTACATAATAACACAGCTATTAGCATTAAAAACGCTTGATTCAATTAATGTCAAATCATTACTCCTCCCAAGTCCCTGAATATTGCTGAAAGAGCTGATATACTAACTCGTGACACACTCTCTCGAACTGTTCCTAGCGGTCACTCTTATCTTCATTCAATCTCCAGTGCCTTCTTTGCCATTTCCAATACTCCTTCTAGAGTTGCATTTCCCCCAGTAAACCTATTGGATATGGTCAATTTTTTAATCGTAGTCAATGTAACACAGAATATAGTAGTATATTATCCATATTATACTTACCCGCTCATATGAACAAATGTGCAATCCTACAAAAAGTGTACATAATGATATGTGTATATTACATAGTAACATATTGGCTACAGCAATCTATTAACAGTCATTCAATACCTTCACTCCCGCTCTCTCTGATAATTCCGCGTCGCGAAGACCACGCCATCTACAAGAAACGAATATATTTTATTCTTATCAAATAATCAACTCAACGACGATGACAATGCAAATATACGCACGCTTCGGGAAGTGGTTTCCTAGAGTCAAATAAATTTAATGCAGCAGGAACTGCCTGTACCCTCCAAGAGTTTGAGCTATGGTATATAATATACAATGGTCGAGTATCGAATGTGACTTTGGTCTCTTCTTCAATATTAAATAAATGTTCCTACACGAAAGCGACGACGTTGAGCATTAATACCATTGATATGCTGCTGTGAAATGAGTTGTTTGACTTTGACAGGCTGTCTACCTTCCATGGACAATGTTGTGACAAGATCATTATTCTCCCCAGTTTGTCGTACTCGAATCTTTTTTCGAACGACTTTATTACAATTTCTCTAGCCGGAAGCCATGCTTTGCCCAAGTATTCTATCTTGTCAATAAACTCTGATCCAGCCATCTCGCTGGCTTTTATAAATTGTTTCTAGGAAAAAGAGAAAGATGACAAGGTTATCATATCGACACTGATGTAATTAGAGGATAAACTATACCGAATATTACATATAATAGATAGTACATACGTTCACGTCAACATCTGTCCGATTCCACCATGGATTGAATGTTGCTACTCGAGATGGCAATGTCGTAGTCTCTTTGTATTTAGCAGGGATTTCGGATGGATATTGGTTGATTCCATTGTCGACAGCTATTTGTTCAGAAGTCGTTAGTGTAGTACGAGATATTATCTTTGGATCGATCGTTCATATGGTAAACAGTTACCATCTAGAGCTTCTATGAAATCCTAATCAAGAAAAGAATAATCAGACGACTTGTAACTATAACGAAGAAACCAGTGATTGACGTACTTCATATATTTTATCATATAGTATTGCAACTTTGGAATCAGCAACTTCTAGTCCCAATTGAGTGGCAATAATTTCCTTGCCAAAATGTCTAAGCGATAAGCGAAACAAGAGATCAGTATAAATGGTTCCTGCAATGACCCAAACTGCTACACCAACCAATACGTTGACCGTACTCACTTGTATATTAACCCAGCACTACTGAGTTTTATCGTGCGCTTGTCATTAAAGGTCTCGAAAAACCCTCTCTATGAGGCATAAGCAACATTGTGTCAAGAATGGTTGATCAACTCGTATACTCAACGCGGAGATTTTTTAGCAGCTTACCTGATGATGGTCAAACCTCATCGTAGATGGATTATAGACTCCGCCCACGTCAACAATTACATCACATTTGGCTAACTGTTCTGAATCACGAGTTCTGATCACATCTATTAAGAAGAAGAGTAAACATTACTTTAGATGGGGGTAAATCAGCGATTGTATATCTTACATAATATTTACTTGATTCCTTGAAAGCAGCTGTTCGTTTCAACATGAACACTGCCAATGCCTCATCGCTATAACAAAATTATACAGATTATAGACTGCTGTCATGTGTAATTCAGACATAAGGTGGAGAGAATTAGTTGATACCAATGAAACTGGCCATCATGAGTTCCAATTACCTATATTACACGATCGAGCGATTGATTGTTATATTATAATATAAACAAAAGCAATGGCATCTAACTGCAAAGCTTACTTTTGTCATTGTTGATAATAGCCTGCGTTTAATATGCACTGTTAATGTTGGTGATATCGAAAGAATGCTTTGCTTCAAATGTAACATCACCTAAAATTTTTGTCAATGAAATGCAACCAATCAACGTCTAAAAGTGCACATTTTAACATGACGTCATAAAACACGACAAAATAAAGCTCGCTCGCCTTGCCTTACTGATAAACTTACGCATGGAAGGCTTTAATCCGTGCGCCGGCTTGGTGATTGTCACGTAAGAACAAATTTCTTTAAAGAATGCATGCATAGTAATAGTACAAAGTGTTTATTTATTCAATCAATATGCCATCAATATTTAAAATTAATCTTACCACAATGCAAAACATGCAATCTTCTCAGCAGACTATCTAAAAATTCGCTTGCTTTTAATTTTTATCTATAGCAATGTCGACAAGACATCGTATAGCCTGGTATCGAATTAGTCACATTCTTTTGTTGTTTGCCGATCGATCCGATCAATAGTAACACAAGCTTACGCAGCCATTTTTTAAAAATTGCGAATATGCAATGGAGCTTGACTGACAACATGGAAGTAGGTCTGAAACCGGGAGAAATCAGCTTAGGAGTGAGTGTTAGAAAGAAAGAGGAGATGGGCATAAGAATAGGGTTGTGTTGCTATTTGTTCAATAATTAAGGTAGATTTACAAATAGTCGATTTCTATCATGTTCTATTAGACCACCCTTATAGCTGTTGCTTTTGATGGAGGTGTGGTCGTTGGTGCGGATTCACGCACGTCGATGGGTGGCTCATACACTGTCAATAGGGTTACAGACAAGTTGACCTACGTCAGTGATAGGATATACTGTTGCCGGTCTGGCAGTGCGGCTGATACACAAGCTGTTGCTAGTATCGTCACTTATTATCTACAACTATACGCGTAAGTGTTCTATACAGTTAGAAAGCGTTGTCATATCAGCATGATTGATGCCTCTATCGTTTGTATCGATGATTGAGCGTTTTCAATTTCTAATTATTCCAATCTCAATAGTATACAACATGAAGAGGAGCCTCCTGTCCGTGTGGCAGCATCGTTGTTCCAAGAGCTCTGCTATAAGAATAAAGATGCCTTATCGGCAGGGATAATTTGTGCTGGTTGGGATAAGCATGATGGCGGTTCCGTTTTTGGCATACCTATGGGCGGATCAATGCACAAACTGCCATATGCTACAGCAGGTAAGCCTTTAATCAAGATGAGGATGATGATTGCATTATCTTTTATACATTGCTTGTGATATACACATGAATTACGTCTCGATTATTTGATTCATTTGCTGGGGTTTTTTTTCTACTTTGTTTATTCCACGTTGCAACCAACAAAATATACTAATTACCTGTTTACGGCTTACGTAGGTAGTGGTTCTACATATATTTATGGTTACTGTGATACCTCATTTAGACAAAACATGACCAAGGAAGAAACAATAGAATTTGTCAAGACTGGTAATAATAAGTTAAAATCTGTATGTTTCTTCCCTTATGCATTCTTGTTCACTTATCGCTCCGATTGTTCTTCCCATATAGGAGTTGCATTGGCAATCGGTAGAGACGGGTCATCTGGAGGTTGCATTCGTCTGGCTGTTATTACCAAAGATGGCGTGCAGCGACATTTCATCCCGGGAGACCAAGTACCAGGTAATGCTGCCGTTCGCAATCGATTAATGTATTTTTATGTAATGCTAACCGCCTCTTATCGTAGCCTTGGGCGTTATATGATTTATATATATCTACAAGGAACAAAAGTGAGGTTGCTCATGATAAAGGTAGTTCATAACACGTCATCTTGTTAGCGTGTTAACAAGTTTTTCCCCTTAGAGCTGGAACGATATTGATGGGCGATCCTCGCAAATATGATGTTAACTCGACACTTAATAAAATTCATGTAAGATTTGTGTAATTGTGAGGCTATGAATACTGTTGTGACATTTAGTGAGCAAATTGCCGACAGTCGCCAGAAACAATTTATTCATGTTAGAATTTACGTTCTTCTCCCAATTAATTTTACTGACCCATACGGTTTGTGGGTGCATTTTTCCTGATTCATAGTACCCGTTGAATTGTTATGCGATGGCATCCTATCATTGTTGCAATTGTCGCGTTTTTGGCTCCATTTTTTGAGAAGACCCATTTATGCACAAGGTAGAAAATTGGGCTTAGTAATTATTATTCTGTTCATCACGACACGCTATATAGGACATAGTATCATCAATTTTGTAGTGTGTACCAAAATTTATTCTCTTGCTTATAAAACTTTGTCTTTCAGTATTGAATATTCCGATCAATGAATTTTGTTCAGTTTTGTTTGAGGCTTCTTCTTTGTAAAACAACTGCGTGCAGTGAAATCTATTTTTGAATATATGAAACTTGTTTATCAAATTGACCCCCAAGCCCAGAGCCTTGTTGTCTTATTGAATATAAATTACACTTGTGTTTAAAACATTACACAGATGCACACCTCCGAAAATAGGCATATAGTAAAAAGAAACGCTTATTCTCACAGGATACTAATTCTCATAGATTCACTTTCTTCCGAATGTTTATATTAGGTAAAGAAGGGATTACTTACGTCCATACGTTCGCTACTCGCCCAACAGCAATTTCATTCAACCATTTCGCCAAAAAGTGCATGCAATTTGTTCCCAATTCTCTTGTTGGTCACAGGTGTCGAAAATAAAAGATTGAAACATGGAAACGTTTCCAAAGCCCAACGTGAATTCTGTCAATCGTAACCGTTCTCTGACAGATCACTACTCAATTAACAATCGGTTCTCTAATTAAATTATTTATTATTTACACAGTAATTGTCGACATGGCCGCATTCGTATTTTTCGTCTGGATTATTACATTATATGACGGAAGCATGAGTGTTTATTTATAAAAGTGCGTAACCAACTTCATGTGACATATTCCTTTTAACTTTTTAGACCCCTTGATTCCATATGCTCGAATCCTCCAAATATTTCTTCCTAAACCCCGTCTGATCACTTAGGTATATCGATTACTTTATTGATACCGATACCTTTAATTAATAAAATTGTTAATTTATTTTTTATCGACTATGAGATTGAATAGCATTTGCTTATCCTGATCGGTTGCAGCACTAAGTAAGTTCGCACCATAATATGAGAAGTCGTTCCCACTCTCATCATCATCATCGATTTCGCCAGAGTCAGGATCAAAACCGAGTGACGAAGTTACAAAATCAAGATTACTATCGACCGTGTTGATTCGATTTTCTATTTCATGTATTGCGTTATCTACATTGGTAGTGTCGCTTGCAGTTGTCTCTAACAAGGAAGGGTTGGTCGATATTAATGTGTTTGCCGATGCGTTAAGAAAGTCTGTATCCACCTCGGTCTCGGGAATATTGGGGGCCGAGCCAAAAGCACTGAAAAGGTCAAATTGAGGCATCTGGGACTGTACTGCACAATCGCTTGACAGATCATTCGTAGAATCTTGTACAAAAAAGTGCAAGATAGTAAGTAAGGGATGTTGAATAATAGTAATAGAAGCAAAAAAATTATTATTTATTTAATAATCGGGAAAGATTAATACGACAAGCATAAATTGTACGTATTCGTAAAGGTCCTTACCATTGTTAAAGTCGAACTCCCATGCATTTGGATCGAATTCAATTGTCTCTGTTGGCGCGTCCGTACTCTCTTCCTGACTAATTGCGTCTTTGAGTAACAATCTTCGTTTCTTGGGAATTAATGCTCTCTTCTTATCGACCGAGAAAACAGAAGCCAAAAACCGTAAAATTTTATCAATTGTTTCCTGTTGCCTGCGATGCCGTTCTCTTGCGTTTATTGTCTCTTGCCAGAGCAATTGATTATCCTGCTGAATGTTTTTGAGATCGCTGCTTATAGTCAATTGATGTTTCTTGATGGATGCAATTTCGTTTAATATGTGGTTTAGATCTATTTCGTTTGGATCTTTGCCATTCTCCGAGTCTTTCCCTTTCTTTCGTTGGACAAAGTATAAAAGGTCTTGTTGATTTCTTAAGAAGTTAGGATTGCTGAACTCTGATTGCTCTGATTGCATGTCGGCCTGCAGTACTCCTTGTTGCAAATGAGGTATTTTGTGAAATCCGTACATATTGAGCTGCCTCACGAAGCTGCTAAAGTTGTTGTGTTTGAAGAAGCGAGGCAAGACTACGCGAGCAAAATCCTGCGGTCGAGTAATTAAGAATGAACTGCCGTTTTCTGACCAGTGAATCAAGTCATTCGATTGAGGATCATTGACCATACTAATAAGAAGAGTTGGAATCGAACAATGACGGAATTGAAGATTGAGCGTTAAATGTGAATATTATAAGATAGGATAATAAACTAGAAAGAAAGCAATTATGACAATTCAATAAGGAGATAGAGTCAATATTATATAAACAAAAAAAAAACATACAGCGATATTGTTCTACCCGTATTTAAGGTATTGATCGGGAAACAGAATATCTATTCGCTATTTATGCTGCACTCTCTCCCACTTACTTGCACTTACTTGTACAATTTGTTAAGGAAAGCAGGCACACTCCTGTTTGCTGATCGAGGCGATCGAGCGATTTTGGCGGGAGGAGCAGGCAGTTGGTAAAGGCTGGTGTTAATATTAAGTGCAGAGGATAAGGGAGTTCCATCTCTTGTTGGGGATTGGGAGGAAGCCGGCCTCTTTTGTGGAATGATTGTTGTGGAGTCACCAGTCTCCCTCTGCAAAGTATTCGTGGTTAGTGGTTGTTGCTGTGGTTCTTGTGGTTGTGGCTGCTGCGGTTGTTGCTGTTGTTGCTGTTGTGGTTGTTGTTGCTGTTGTTGTGGTGGTGGTGGTGGTGGTGATTGTGGTGGTTGCGGTGGTTGCGGTGGTTGCTGTGGTTGCTGTGGTTGTTGTTGTTGTTGTTGTTGCTGCTGCTGCTGCTGCTGTTGTGGTTGCTGTGGTTGTTGCTGTTCTTCTTGCTGCATATTTGGTTTTTATGAATACAGACGTCGATAGGATGGTCTCTTATTATTAAAGTACTGACGTGTTATATGTACACTACCGGACGAGTTGCGCAAAGACGGACAGATATTGTGAGAAAGAAGTGATACGTATTACATACATAAAAGGTTAGTGTCCAAACCAAATATTCAAACTTGGGCGGGAGTGATACACGTAATTTCTCTACTAAAGACAAGCGGGAAGCAACAAATGATTAATTCCTGTGGCGCTTGGTGATGGGATGTTGCAGACCCAGTAGTAGAGACGAAATACTAATACGTGGTGGGTATGTCAAGCAGGGCTACTGTATATATGCATGTTTACTCGAGAAAGAGAATGTTACAAACTTTAAAATGTTGGGGACAAAAGCACATTTGTCATGCCATTTTAGGCCATTGAAACAATCGTTTAACAGTGAAGCAAATTACAGCATTTGTCTGCTAACCATCAATAAATGCTAACCTTGTTTCAACTAATGCGCATATACCAAAACTGCATATAGCATTGTATTTCTGAGATAGATTACCATAAAGGTCAAGTCTTATGATAAGAATTTACAATCTGCCTGGACACATCATCAACTTTGGGTTAGACTCTGTCTTAATTTAGTTACTTCATGATTGCGCGCGTTAATCAACGAATGGTTTTGCAGATAGTAACATGGTTGTAACGTGGTCGTAACGTGGTCGTAACATGGTAGACAGCCCTGGTCATTTACACCTGGGAGAATGTTTTATTGTTTCACTATTTACAGTCATAAGATGGCATTCCCAAGCGGTTATCAATTTGTAAGAAAGCAGGTCTACATTTACACGAATTGCTTTTTATTGTTCGGGTGACTGGATGCTTGATGATCCGGATAATCTAATTCGCGTGATAAATTCCAGGTCACGAGCGTTTTAGCTTCAGCCTGTTTCAGCTACAACTTAACTTCCGGTTAATATTCATACCAAAATTTAGGGTTTATACTATTTTAACAAATTACCTGAAATTCCCGCTCAATTATAATGAATATCTAATACTACAAATTATGGCATATAATTTGCGATATTGATCATATATTATTATCATTATTATTATTTTTTGGCTTAAATCTCAACATCAGCTCGTAACATCGATTCACAGCTTCAACTTTGCGCTTTGGTTTAGTATCCGGCGTAGCCAATTCAGGGTCATATTTACTGAAAATCATAGCAATGATAATCTTAAGTTCTGTCATTGCCAACTGCCTACCAGGACATATACGCACTCCGCCTCCAAACATCATAAATGAATTTTTTGCAATGTTAAGATTCTTGGGTTCCAGAAATCGATCGGGGTCGAATATTTCTGGGTTAGACCAATGCTTAGAGCTTAGATGAATCCCCAGGTTACAAATTACCACTTGTTCGCCTCTCTGTATATTTATATAGAGAATTGATATTGAGTACTAAGCTCGTCATAACACGCGACATCAGTTTTTATATTACCTTGACAGGATATCCACCAATCACATCATCTTCCTCAGGCATTCGAAGATTTAAGGAAAAGGGTGGCCTTAATCGTGCTGTCTCCTTGATAACAGCATCAGTATACACCAATTTATTCAAATCCTCATATTTAATGGGACGGGAAAGATCCGTTCCAAGGACCGTCTCGAATTCTTGTCGAAGGCGAGCCTTGACTTTTGGATGTTTAATTACAAAGTAGACTATATAGCAACTCAGATTCGCCGTCTACAAATATTTTGTATGACGTCATTATCTATTCGA